CGGTCGGCGACTGTAGATGATAAAAAAATACCGCCTGACAAAATGGCTTCCAAGTACTATGTAGAGTTGCATTTTTGAGGAATCAGGTTCTCCAACACTGAATTAGCTTTAAAGACAAACTCGTCTGTGCCATGAGCAGCATAAAGGAGCATTGCACCATCAGCATATATCGTAAATTAAGTCGAATTGTCAACACCCATGATGTCATTCACATAAAGGAGAAATTAGCGGATGAATATAGGCGACTCCAGCAGCTGGCACAGCTCCCACTCCAGCTTCGTCATTCATGTGGATGAGGTGCCAGTGGGAGAAATGTCAGCATCAGCAGTCAAATTCAGATTTAGCAATTTCCACTCTTGACACTGTAGTGGTCGCTATTTGTCCTGCTTGTGGCGCCCTGTTAGTGTAGAGGGGCGTGTGTGTTCTTTAGAAGAAGTAAAGGGAGTTCTTCACGAGCAGCTGTCTGTGTCGGATGTCTTTTACTGAGCTCCGCCCCACAAGGTTTGAGAGGTAGGCTCTGAATCCTACATGGTGTCAGAAGTGGTGGGGTATGGCAGGCTCTGGTAGCACAACCGATTCCACACCCTGGAGGGGCATCGCTTTACGCCAGCTTGACAGCTTCGACTTTTTGAACGCGGAACAGTGGCCCTCCTGGCTATCGCAGCACGAAGACTACGCCTTTGCATCGGGTCTTTCCTCGGCACCTGAACATGTTCAGGTACGTCTCCAACTCTACTGCATGAAATCAGAGGCCCGACGCTTGCTGCAGTCCTTTTCGCTGTCCGCTGAGGCGCCATACAACGTCGTGGTACGGTGATTCACCGAGCACTTCGTCCACCCCGTGAACGAAGTATACGAATCGTCGCGTTTCCATCGGCGGGTCCAACAAGCGGAGGAAACCGTAGATGCGTTCTACGCGGAGCTGATGCGTCTAGTCAAATGCTGTAACTATGGCAGCCCGGAGGTCGAGGAACGTCTTGTCAGGGATCGTTTTGTCGTCGGTCTTCGGGACTCTCAGCTGTCTGACCGTCTTGGACGTAACCCAAAGCTCACGCTCAAAGACGCGTGGGCACAAGCGCGCCAAGCCGAAAACGGCGACAAAGAAAAGGCAACCAAGGCAGGCACGGGTCAATCTGAAACTCCAGGAGGTCAAGGTGTCAATCTTGACGCGACCAAGCTCGCAGGTCGTCTCAAGCGGCGCGGCACTAAGCCTACCACCAACGCTGCTCACGACCAGTCGTCTCGCGTCTCTACGGGCAGGCCTGGTTCTTGCTTATTCTGCGGACGTTCATCTCATCCTTATGAGGACTGTCCCGCACGCAAATCGAAGTGTAACTTTTGCCGTAAGCAAGGCCACTTCGCAGAGGTCTGTCTCTCCCGCGTGAAAAAGCTAGCCAAAGTAGGCACTCTGCAGCTTTCTGTAGTCGACACCGGAGAGAAGGCGAAGTACATTGACGTCACCGTGAACAACTATACAGCGTCCTTCAAAGTGGACTCGGGAGCTGAGGTGACGGCTGTTCCAGATGATTTCCCTCGGATTCCCAAGCGTTTGTCAAACATGGAAAACGCCATTCATGGACCGGGCAACCACCCGCTTAAAGTGCTGGGTTCTTTCTCATCGACACTGTGGTGGAACGGCAGATCGTCCAAGCAGCAGGTGTATGTCATCCAGTCTTTCAGTACTCCTTTGCTGGACTTCTCCGCCATACAGGACCTTAAGGTCATCAAGTTCCTCGATACTGCAGCCAAGCCTGCAGTCAACCCAGGCTTCACTGAGCTCTTCACAGGTCTAGGTACGCTACCCGACGAGTACACGATCCGGCTAGAATCCAAAGCCACCCCTTTCTCGTTGAGTGTACCTCGTCGTATACCCATTCCCTTACGAGAGGTCGTGAGGAAAAAACTGGAGAAGCTCGAGCGACAGGGCGTCATTCGTCGGGTTGAAGGCCCCACCCCATGGTGTGCAAAAGTAGTCGTCGTTCCGAAGGCATCTGGTGGTCACCGTCTCTGCGTTGACCTTACGAAGCTCGACAAGGTCGTCCTTCGAGAACGGCACATGCTTCCTACGGTGGACCAAGTTCTCGGACTTCTGGGAGAAGCGACTGTTTACTCCAAGTTGGACGCAAATTCCGGATTTCACCAGGTGAAACTTGCCAAGGAAAGTCAGGAGTACACCACTTTCATCACTCCCTTTGGCCGCTTCTGCTTCTGTCGTCTGCCTTTCGGACTTACGTCGGCACCAGAGTACTTTCAGAAGCAGATGGTGCGCATACTCGAAGGACAGGTCGGGTGCGTCAACATGATTGACGACATTCTTGTCTTTGGACGGACGCGCGAAGAACATGACGCGCGGCTCAACCAGGTACTTTCTTGACTATCGAAGCCTGGCATCACTCTCAACAAAGACAAGTGCGTGTTCGGAGTGTCCGAAGTCAGCTTTATTGGAGTCGTCGTATCACCAGAAGGTGTGAAGCCGGATCCTATCAAGATTCAGGCTGTCCAGGCGATGGAAAGGCCTGAGGATGTTGCAGGGGTCCGAAGGCTACTTGGCATGGTAAACCATGTTGCGCGTTTCGTGCCACACATCTCCGAAGTCACCGCTCCTCTCCGAGCACTTTTGTCAAAGAGCAACGTATGGGCCTGGGGTCCTGAGCAGGCGGCTGCATTCCTACAGGTGAAGAACCTCTTGAGTTCAGACTGCTGTCTCGCCAAGTACAACCCAGTGTACCCCACAACAGTTTTGGCAGATGCCAGCTCCTTCGGCATCGGTGCTGTACTCCTTCAAGACCAACCTTCGGGAAAAGGAGGGCGGTGGCCTTCGCATCTAGGGCCATGACCCCGGCAGAGATGCGCTATAGCCAAACAGAGAAGGAGGCTTTGGCAACGGTGTGGGCTGTACGACAATTTGACGAGTTCGTACGTGGTTTGCAGCTCAGTGTGGAGACCGACCATATGCCCCTGGTATCTCCCTTCGGCAAGATGGAGTTAGACATGTTGCCTCCTCGCATTCAACGCCTTCGTTTAAAGCTGGTGCAGTACCAATTTCACATGCTGTATGTGCCGGGGAAGCTACTGGCAACAGCGGACACACTCTCCAGAGCTCCCCAGAGAATGGGGTCTGAAGACAAGTGCAAGGACTCCCTTGACACATTTGCAATTGCAGCACTGGAAGACACGTCTGTTGACCTTCCACTCCTCCCCGAGGAAGTCCAAGCTGCGCAACAGTCTGACGGAGAGTGCTGTGCACTCAAACGGTATTGCGAGGTTGGATGGCTGACGAAGCACAAGCTGCCTGTCAATTTGTCCAAGTATTGGTCTGTCCGAGGAGAGCTGTCGCTGCGCAAAGGAATTCTCCTCAAGGGCCCGAGGCTCCTCATACCGGCCGACTTAAGACAGGCAATACAAAGGCTCATACATGAAGGTCACCAAGGAATTGTCAAGTGCAAGGCCAGAGCTCGTGACTCTGTCTGGTGGCCAGGCATCAATGCACAGATCACTTCCCTGGTGAGCGGCTGTGAGCAGTGTGCCAAGACAAGAGTGCAGCCGGCAGAACCTTTCATATCGTCCAGCTTTCCTACTCGCCCATGGGACGTCGTCGGTGCCCACCTGTTTCATTGGAAGAAGCAGGACTTCATCGTTATTGTGGACTATCACTCGAGGTACCTGGAAGTCTTGACGTTAAGCAGCACCTTGAGTGGAGCTACGATCGCGGCAATGAAGTCAGCCTTCGCTCGGCATGGTATTCCGCGATCCGTAAGAACGGATAACAGCCCGCAGTTTGCATTGGGGGATTTTGCGAAGTTTGGAAAAGATTACGGCTTTTAGCACCAAACAAGTAGCCCCAGATTCCAGCAATCTAACGGCGAAGCGGAGCGAGCTGTCCGCACCATCAAGGAACTCTTAATTAAAGCTGAGGATCCATACTTGGCACTGTTGAGCTACCGAGACACCCCCGGAGTTTCTGGAGACAGCCCCGCACAACTTCTGTTCGGGCGTCGGTTGAGGACATGGCTTCCTAGGGCTCAAGATGAAAGTCTTCCGCGGCCACCATCGCCCGGTCGGGTGGCAAGGAGGAATGAGTTGTATAAATGGAAACAAGCTCAGGCCTTCAACCAGCGACATGCTGCCCGCGAGCTGCCTCCTCTTCGTCCTGGAGAAAGAGTGTGGGTACAGTCGGAACAGTGTCCGGCCACGGTGCTCAGCCCAGGACAGCGTCCCCGCAGTTATCTGGTGGAAGCTGACCACAGCGGAGCGGTCCTTTAGCGCAACCGCAGGGTACTGGTTCCTTTTGCATCCCCAAGGCCGCCGGTTGAACCACCCGCAGCTGACGGTGTGCCTCCAAGTCCAATAGCGGCTCAGCAGAACATTAGTAGTGACCCAAAAGGGCCGCCTGTGTCGACAAGTCCCTATCGGACTCGCAGCGGACGAGCCGTGACCCGCCCCAGGCGTTTAGACTTATAACGGCGGACAGTTTGAAAACATTGCAGTTGATGGGACTATTGTGAACAATAAGTAGGTGCATTTCGCTGCAAGAACTATTTGGCGAAAACGCAGCCTCTAAGAAGGGGAGATGTAGTGGTCGCTATTTGTCCAGCTAGTGGCGCCCTCTTAGTGTAGAGGGGCATGCGTGTTCTTTAGAAGAAGTAAAGGGGAGTTCTTCACGAGCAGCCGTTGGTGTCGGATGTCTTTTACTGAGGTCCGCCTCACAGGGTTTGAGAGGTAGGCTCTGAATCCTACAGACACCGCCAGTAATGAATTTCGCAGTTAGCACTATTGACTAAGGCATCTCGTGGCAAAGTGTGCCGTTAAAAGCATACATCTCCGTCCCTCTGCCACACAGCCGACATCACCGTATCGCGCTTGTCGTCACACCACGAATACGTCACATAACGTGTTGACATCATACGAGTGCGATGTGTTTGTCATACAACGCACGCTCCGCCGAGAAATCTGCCGGACTTCATTTTCGTGTGAATTCTGCCTGACATACGCAGGCTCACCTGAGTGATTGCAGGCCTGCGCGTCTCCAGATGGTAGTCCATGACGTCCCAGGCGTCCCAGTACAGTGGAATGTCATCGAACATGACAAAGGTGTTGGCCACCTGGTCGGAGGCAACAAACTCCTTGGAGTCCCCCAGCACCTTGAGGGATGTCACCTCTCCGGATGCGTTAAGCCTCGCTTCCAGGAACTGATTTCGGAGTCGCGTGCCTCCTGGGAGAGTTTCTGCAGGAAAAACAGAAACAGAAATGAAATTTGTGTCTCGGCTACTTTTTATTTCCTCCTCCTTTTAGTTCCCTGTTCCCTTCCCTGACTCGGAGTAATCAAGGAAGTTGGGCCATTTTGGTTACCTTTGTTTTCTCCTCCTGCTCCTATAACCTGAGAAGTTCTATCGGTCCTCTTGTGCTTACCTCGCGCGAGATTATGCGAGCAATAATGGCACCTTGTCTAACATCCAAGATGTCGAGCAATCACAACACATTCAGGGTGTATAGCAAATTATTATTTTGAAATTCCCTGACTTTTCCAGGTTTTCCCTGACTATTTCAGGTGAAATTCCCTGACCTCTGAGAGGCAATTAAATATGCAAGACCATTACAACACAATGCACTGAGCATTCAGTACTGTGAGGATCATTTTGCACGGGCTTAATCCAACTTGCATATTCCAAAATATTCGGGATCGTCCAGTCCGGATTAAACGAGCACTTTCTTGCCGCCGACATCGTCAGTGAAGAGGACACTTCCGGAAACACGACGAAAACGCGACGCTCAACCACACACGTCAATAACTGAATGGCAGTATGGCCAAGTCATGGCCGCGTGATGCATACTTTTGGATACTTTCGGCTTAAGGCTTGGATTGTGATCTGCAGCTTTCCCATTTGTTACTAAATCTAGTAGCTCTAACTGGATCTAGCCTAGTGTCGCGCCCTCAATCCAATCCAAATGTTGGACTGGATTTGTCGGCTGTTCCCTTCCCATCGGGTAGCACACCCCACATCGGGTGAGCAGAGCCCGCGCTCCGCTCTAAGCAGAGTTTATTGCCCATTTTTCTGGCCCCTAAGTTCTTAAGTCTTTGCTCAGGGCACTCGATGGCGTTTCCGGCTTATTTTCCCTGACTGGGCTCGCTTTTTGACAATTTCCCTGTCAATTCCCCGATTTTTCCCGGTAATTAAAATTTCCCTGACAATTTCCGGTTTTCCCGGTCGCTAGACATTCTGACATTGTACGACGTGAGAGGACCTTGAAAGAGCAACGATGGCCTCTCAAGGGATCTATAAGGTGAGGTCACCTTATGCAACATCAGATGTGCAATACTACCTCATATAACATGCAGGAAGAATGAAATAAGAATATTGTGATATATATTCGGCTGACAACAGTGGTACACATATTGTGACATGTATTTAGCTGAGAACAGTGGTGCACAATGAAAACTTCTACATGTCTGATCATGCCCCCAAACCTTCCTTAGACTGCATGTAACTGCAAGAAATCGAAAAACCAGCTTGGTGGCAACCACAGCTGCACCATAAGCTAGAAAGTTAAAATCTGTCAAAATGGCAATGTTAGCATGGTATTAGCATCATTATGTCAATACCTTTTTCAAAACATGCAGTCGAACCCGGATATATTGAATTCAAAGGGGATCGTAAAATATTTGGATATATCAATAATTTGATATACAAAAATATGTTAACTTAAGCACCAGTTGAAATTTCCGTGCATCTCTTCTGATACCGAAGGCTGGGACAAACGGAACCTTACCAAATAGAGCCTCTAAGAGCCGCTAAATACTGTAGAGCTTAGCTGGTGACAATGTTTGCGATGTCTACGCAACCAATGTTTGCAATCGTCTACGCGAGTGCCAGGGCACAACCTCCACACAGCCCAGGAGACAAAACACGAAAGTAACTTTAAAAAGTGAAAGAATGAAGAAAGCAAAACTGCTAAAGAAGCTCTTAATCCAAAGAATAAAGTTAAGCAAACAAAAAAGAAACTTCACTAAATTCAAGCAGAAAGAGAAAAGAAAAAAAAAACGGGCAAAGCAATAAAGGCAAAAGAAAAAACGTTCAGCCTTTCCACTCTCATAAAGAAGGAAGACCAGCGGAGCTGTACTCGATACACTGTGTGCTTCTTCATCGTCGTCGTCTGTCTTTCGCGCTGTTTCCTACGATGAATTCCCACCAACGCGCCCAACTATCCATTCTTCTATTATAGCTGGAAAGGTTGCCGCCGTCTACGAGCGACGGCGGAAACAATACTGGTTGTGTGTTTGCCGCCGTCGCTTATAGATGGCAGTAGCTGTCCAGGTAGGTTTGTGTCAACATACACGGACACGATCCTGGGGAACCTAGCCCTTAACATCTCCTCTGTAAAAAGTAAACAAAGATAAGGCGTTAAAAGTGCGATTGCTGAACCGTTTTTGTTAACACACTCAACTTGACGAAGACTTTTTTTCTTTTTTGCTTATTTTATTTAGGGGTTAAAAAGGCGCGCAGCGACAGCAGTGTTCAGGGAAAGAGCGTTTTACGTTTCCACAGTTGTCGGCATTTCCCAAGGTGCCTCTGCGACGTCGCTTAGAGTTTACCCTGGCTGCGCGCAAGGTCTATGATTGCAGTATTCGTGGCAGGAGCAACAACGGAAACATCAGTATCGACAAGAGCGAAAGAATCAAAGTTATCCTCCGCGGCTTTGCCAACATGTCTGACACATTCTTGTAGAGATCGTTGCAGCTCTGGGAATTGTGCGGCAGCTCGGCAAGCATCCTTATGAGAGGAAATCCGACGTGTGCAGCAGCAATTGGCCATTTTTCATCTTTGGGTCGCGGGCGCGCTTTCTCTTGCATGAGAAGTTCTCTAAACCATTCAGTATGCCTTGCTTCTTCTGCCAAATGGTGGACAGTGCTGAAGAGCCAATGCCAGAATGTTGAATTCATTGGTGATTTTGGACTTCATCCGGCCACTTTTCTGAACCTCGCAGATGATATCTAAGCGACTTTTGGTAAACACTCACACTCTCCCATATGATGCATATGTACGCCGCGGGCGTACTGGCACGCACGTCAGAAGATCCCGAAGGGATGATCTTCTCCCAGCTTCGTCAGTTCCATCGCTCCTTTGACCGAATTACGACAAGAGTCGGGCTGCGTCAGCTGCGGGCGCTGTGAGCAGCGCCAAAATATGGATGCTGCTCTAGCTGCTCCCTGGCCGCATCCGCGCATCAACATCAAAAGCAGCACTGTGCCCTCCGTCACCCGTTTGCTCCGTTTCTTGTTCACCATTTTCCCAATTTGCCGTTTGCCTCAGTGAGGAAGGGAGAAGGAATGCAAGGGTCTCCGTGTGCCTCTGTGTAGGCTTGCGTGCTCTTGGCACCTTGGCCTTCATCATAAGCGTGGTCAGCTGCCGATACAGATAGAGTAATCAGGTTCAAAATGCAAGCATTTCGGTCGGGACCAAGTCACACTTCGGTAAGAGTGATAATTTAAATAAAGAAATTTCATTATAACAAGGAATTACTACACAAAAACGCAATTCGAATGAAGCGGCTTATGAATCCATTACAAACATAGCGGGACAACCAAAATATTGAAAATTGTTTGAATTAACCAGAAGTACAAGATATCCGAAAGTGAATTATTGCGAGCTATACTGCACGCACCTAATGCAGACTATCTAAGGAAGAGCTTTTCTTTTTCAACCAAGAGTTACCCCTGCGGACTACACACTGGGTGCGGTAATCCGGAAAAAATGGTAAGTCAAATCTGCTCAAGCAAGAGTGGGGACACAGCTGAAAGTGTGGGGAGGCACTTTGGCCAGCGAGAAAATGAAACGAAAGCGGGCATCCCAACCTGCTCGCACGGAGACCTTGTGGGACGAGATGCCCCGCAGGATCCGGTAGCCGCTGGGGGTGGCCGCAAAGGAGATGAGGGTGCCGTCCTGGGTCCTCTGCATGGCGTTGTCATCCACGCCCTCGATCCAGCAGCGCTTTGAGAGCTCCTCCCAGCTCAGAGGCACCTGCACCACCTCGCTGCGCCCCCAGGGGAGTGTGTTCACAAACACCAGGTCGCCTACAGTTTTGTCGCTGCACGTGCCTGCGTTGCAACCATTTGCGTGACTTCTGTGATCATGGGTAACCACACAAATGTAATGCACAACCTGCATATTATAGTTTGTATCTTTACTCAAATGATCCAAGAGAAAGCAGAAAGAGCACTTCAAGTTTCAAAGTAAAAAATAAGAGAAGAGTGAGAAAAAGGAATGGCAAATTGCTACGCAACTGTGTTGCATACGTAAAATGTTTTAGCATCACAAACATTTATGTCATCATTTAGCAGCAAGTCTAGCCTTTTCAGCCAGATGCCTACGTTTACGGCGCTCTTCAACGGATAATTTAATGTGTGGCAAGTGTACACTTCAAATGATAAACCTGGTGATCTTCCATAACCTTCTAACCCACTCATCCTATCCCACTTTTCCTCCTCGCCTACCTTTCTCCTCACTTCACCCCTCGTCATATGACCTCCACATTAACCAGTCAGTGTCAAGCACCCTGACTCCTCCCCTCCCATCTGCAGTGATGTGATTGGCCTAAGCCATTTTGGAGCACCTTTCGGAGTAGCCAAAATGGTGTTTTGGAGCAGCAAATGTGGCCTTTGGAGCAACCAAAACAGTGTTTTGGAGCAGCAAAAATGGCTTTTGGAGCAGCCAAGGCAGTGTTTTGGAACAGCAAAAGTGGCTTATGAAGCACATATTCTTAGGAAAATCGAAATATTTGTTTTAAGTGCTGTACAAACGAATAACACTTCATGTTCTGTTGTGCTCCGATGTGACTTGTTGTGATGGAACTCGCTGCTTGTGGTTTTACTGCTGAGACATCCCACAAGTGTACAGCGCATTGCTGTATGTATTGCCGAGCAATTCTGAAAAACACCTTGCCACTGTTTTACTGGTTCCCCGACATGCCAGATTTTCGTCAAAAGTAAGCAAACGTAAAACAATGGATTGCAACCGTCCCGGCTCGTGCCTCTGACGTTCAATCGTGTTCGCATGCACGTGAGAGAAACTTCGGCAGGCTTCCAGTTGTGCGTGCTTTGTCGGGCGAACGGAGACAATGGCTGTTCGATCAAAACCATTGCACTCCGCTCCTTCACTAACCGATTCCCAAAATGGTATGTAAAATGTCACTGTCGAGCAAACGACAAAAAACAGTCCAGCCACGCGGGCATGCCACACCGGTGAACAAGACACAAGCTAAACACACGCACGCACACGTGCACACACAGACAAACAAAAAAAGAGAACCTGAGTGCATCGATGCAAAACGTCTCCTACATCAATTCCACCAAAAGCAAAGAACCTATTGCAAAGATTGCACAGCATATTGACTGAAGGCAAATCTCCTAAAACGTGCCTTTCCACAACACAGTAGCTACCACTGTCAACCGCAGCACATTTTGTGTGGTCGTCTGCAATTTTCTTTGCAGACGACCACACAAAACACATTTTTCATAATCTGACGTTGAGGTTGTACCACTGACATTGTCAATCCTCTTGAAGCAGTCAACTTTCACAATGTGCCATCCGTGCGTCTTGCCACTCATCGGCGACGGACCTTGGTGTTGACCAGCCAACGGAAAAGCCTGGCTCTGTCTCTATAGTTTCACAGCCTACATGACGAACGGCGAGCTGCGGTTGTGATAATGGGGCTTTCTCAGTTCTGAAGTGTGTTGGTCGGGAAAAACATTACGTCTCTCCTAGTTCAATGTCTTCCAAGCGCCTGCCTAGTGTAGCAAGGATGACTGTGAAGAAGCAAGCAACTCGCTCACGACAGAAAATACCAGAAAAATCCTTCTGCCATGCCTTTGCCAGCAGAATAATGATCTGCGAATATCTTTCGACTAAACCTGGGGGCGCGTGTTTATCTGCAGCTGAAAGTGCACATTGCAATGTTGATCACAAAAAAAGCGTAAAAGCAAACATGTGCCCTGGCAGAAGGGTTTGGATTTGGGCTAGTTGGTTGAACATGTTTAGGAGTTAAAAGCGCTAAAAACGACGGACGAGTAGGAGAGACACACACCACAGTGCGCTACTTGCAACTGGTTTATTATTGGAAAAACTACACGTACCGCAAAACCAACAAGACAATATCCGATTCAGTTCCAACCGTCGCTAATCACACTTCTTACTCTTACACCTGGTGTAAGGTGTAAGAGTAAGAAGTGTGATTAGCGACGGTTGGAACTGAATCGGATATTGTCTTGTGGTTTCGCGGTACGTGTAGTTTTTCCAATAATAAACCAGTTGCAAGTAGCGCTCTGTGGTGTGTGTCTCTCCTACTCGTCCGTCGTTTTTAGCGCTTTTAACCCCTAAACATGTGCCCTGGCCCTTCGGTGCTGTTATGACAGGAAATGAATGCATTATTAATTAATCCGATTATTAATCAATAATATAAATGTGCCCATTAATCGAGCTAAAAAATTAAGACATGCTTACGTGTATGAATGCCTACACACAGCGCATTCCTAGAAGCAGCACACCACGTCTTCTTATCGCACACGGCGCTCTGGCAGTGACATCACGCTCCCCCAATGCGCAGGCAATGCCAACCCCACCAGCTCCACGCCATCCGTGACAATGCATCTGCGTTGCTGTGCTTTTCTTTGTGTTTTATTTCTGAGGCGCACCTGCTTTCACCTTGAGCACCCCGCCGACTTCCATGACAAAGCGTCTGCATTGCTGTACCTTTGGCCAATGGGAATTTAACTACATTTTTGCTGCTACTGACGGTTACTGACAACGTCGGCTTCACTCCATAAAACAGATAATGCTTTTGCATTAAAAATTTTTAATCAATGTTTAGCCCTAAGCGGAGAGCAAGTCGTCTGCTTCTTGCAAAGTTGCGGTGGTGTAAAAATGACCCAGAGTTTCGATTGAGAGGATGGTGGGTAGACCTCAATACTAAATGCCTTGAGGTCTATCCACTATTTTTTCAATCGGCCAAGCTCGGCATTATTACATCATCGCAACCCCTGTGCAAGAAGCAGACGACAGAACCCCTGATATAGATTGTTTTACTGCAAAAGCATTAACTGTCCTATGGAGTGAACTGACATCATCAGCTTCTGAAGCCGTGCGAAATGGCACCTTCCCATGTCCCAATGGAGCGTATGTAGCAGAAATCTGATGGATAGGCTTCCGTTGGCTGGCGTGCATCAGTTCCAAGGAACAAGGTTCCCATTGGCTCTCGTGCGACGTAGTTCTAAGGAATGCCACCAGAGAAGCCCTCTCCATGGTGGCACAGCACACACAGCGGCCTGGCCGCCGGTAAGAGGTGCGGGCCTCGTCACACGGCCCGCTGAGGCGAACTCCGGGGAGGCTACACAGCAGAGCTCAGTGCGGCGCGGCCACTTCACGAGAGCGCGCTCGACCGTCGCTAAACGTTGCCATCCACACCAGTACACCGCAGACAAACTAACAGAGCGGAAGAACGACATTCATGCTTTTGCATTCACAACTCATAAGAAGTGCTTAGGCATCTTTGGAATTTTTATCAAAGGGTAGCGCCATTTTCAATGCTGTAGCGCCATCTAGCGAACTTCAGGTTCCGCAGCCATGCTGAATGGTTAGAAACGTTGGCAAAAGTGTTCTTCGGGGCGCCGCTCCCGCGTTGGGTGTGCTAGTTGGGTGCTTCAAGGTGCTGGGTGCTTCAAAGTGCCGACTTAGGGAGCGTGTTTGAGGATCCTGTGTCAACGAGTGTCTCCTTTGTTGAGAACTGAAAATAGCAAAGTTGAGATGGGCCCATTGCCGGAGTGAGTCGATCAATGATTCAACGATTCAAGATCGATGCATGAGCATGTCTTAGTAATAGAAATTGAGTTTTCCTTTCAGTTATGTACGAATTTTAAAAATAAAAAAATGAAAGCTGTTTACAGCTCCCTGTAATGCCGAATCAGAGAGCAGCTCTTGAGGAGGGGGAGGGAAGGGCACTGAGGGTCACGTGTTCTTGGGGGGGCCACATGACCTGGGGGAGGGGTCACGCGACCTTCACATGACCCCCCCCCCTGAGGTCACGTGGCAGGGGGTCACGTCATTCCCCAGAGAGACTTTTTCCGATAGATTTAGAGGGGAAATTTTTCCGCTAGACTTAGCGGGGGAATTTTTCTCGCTAGATTTAGCGGGGAAATAAATTTACCCATAACACATTGCGTGGTTACGACGACGGCAACACTGATGCCGAAAGCAACGGCGAAGGCGACGCCGCTCAAGCCGGAAACAGGCGTCTAAAAGCTGCGCTCTAAAAGAATCTAGTCAGGCTGTGATGGTCAACTAAGTTCACGGCTCTCTGGTATCGCGCGAGAGATTGCAATTCAGGAAAACCGATAGAACTAATTTTTCAATACTTTCTGGCCACGCCCAGCAGTGAAAATGAGCCTTCAATGTGTTGTTAATGATAAAATCGAGTCAGTGTCGCCATTCAAATAAATTAAGTTAGAAGTAATAAGCTGAAACAGCAATTCTCACCAGAAAACTTGCACGCACCTTGTGAGCGCACAAGGTGCGTGCATGGGCGGTAGAGCAATCAATTTGTTGCACGCTCCATTCCCAATAGGTTCCAAGCCCATTCGAGAAAATGGCGTCGGGGAAAAGTCTTTTCGGTTTACGGACGCACCCCACTGCCGCCGGAGGTCTTGGTCATTTGGAAAGCAATGGAGTTTGAAGACATTGCAGCCACAGTTGCCTTGTCGAATCCCATCCCCCGATAATATTCTGCACTTTCGGCTGTTATTCGTGCAGCTTATTATCGAACACTGGTGCCCGATGACCAGGGGATTCTCGTCGTTGAGTGCACTATCTTTAATTAAATATGGAAGTAAAGAAATGGAGGAAACCGCGAAGAAAACAAGTGAACTTGGAGGAACACACACGTTCAAGGCGTTCATCCGCGTCTTCCGCTTGTTCCTAACTAACCAGCAAAGAGGAAAGCACCGGTAGCCTTTTCCCCTTTTCTCTCTTACCCTCTTTCAGTAAAACGGTCCGTAGAAAAATTTAGCACAGCTGCTCCTTACGAATAAATCGGGTGTACCCCAATTTATTCATAAAAAATCTCGTTTTTAGCAACAACTCACCGAAAAGCTTCTCCAGGGCTTCGTCTCCGAGATGTGCGACTCTCCTCAGCACCCTCGTGTAGATTTCTTCCGCATCTCGGCGCACTTCTGCGATGCAACTGCCGGGCAGCACGTCATGAAACTGGTTGAGCAGCACGTCCTTCCAGCACGCCTCAAAGTCTTCCAACGGGTACTGGGACGCTCCGGACGCGGAGAGCGAGGATGCGACGGACCACAGGAGCTCCGCGTCTCTAAGGGCCAGCTCCGCCCGCCGGTTGAGCTTCTTGGTCGTAGCGTGCGTCGTGTAGGTGCCTTGGTGCAGCTCCAAGAACAGCTCCCCCGTCCAACGACCCAGCTTGCCGAAGGACTCGGCCTCGAGGTGTGAAAAGAAGGCGTCAGGGGTAGAGAGGATGACCCTGTGCGAGTGCGAAGAGAAGGATTGAGCAACAGAAAAAGGCATGGTCGTGCATACGAGATGAACAGTAGATGTACATAACGGGGGGGTCTGTTGGTCAAATACACAAACCATAGCAAAAGTTTCAATAGAGTGTTCTATTGGATTAATGGCAAGTTTTATAATCATATCTTACTATTTATAAGTCACACCGCACCTAGGAAATAACGGGCTTACCCTGAAGTGCTTTTTATCGAGGAGACTGCAATCAAACATAGTCATTCTTGCTGTTCTTAACTAACTTTAGGATGATGCTAAGTTTAGCATGAAATTTAGGTAAACAGGGGGAGCTCCGCCATCATTTTGAACGTTTTCAATAAAACATTTTTAAAACCCATGCTGGGAACACAAGTGCGAAAAATAACTACTTCCCTTTAAAACAAACACAAAAGGACCTTGAAAATAGACTTGGCTTATCAGAAGGAACTAAAATATCTTACTGGATGTGTCTAAATTAGAGTTATGGTCTAAAAATGGAATTAAACAATAAAGGCCCAGTTGAAAAGAAATATTTCTTTAGCTTCTTATCACAAAAATAAACGTTAACGTAAAATACTGCGCAAGTACCTACTTCGGACAAGTGCCCACTATTAACATTTCCGATGCTTTAGAATTCTGCAAATTACGGTAGCTGACCAATTTTTTCGAATTCGGTCAAGTGTCAAAAGTCAGAATAAGAGCAGTCAGAAAAAATGGGTCTGAACAACATTCCCCAAGTCACTGGCCCTTCCCGCACCGATGTCCGAATAATCAAGCATGTCCAAATTTTTGCCATCTGAAAAATTGGTCGGCTACTGTACACGTCAAGCGACCATCCCCTCCGACGCGTTAAGGCGATGGGCTAGAAATCCATTGGGGTCTCCCTGCACAGGTTCGAATCCTGTCGACTGTGCAAACATTTTTTTTTTTTTTATGTGAGCATGGACGCTGGTTGGACGGACAAGGCTAGACCCTAAGGAGCTTCGCCCCTAACAAAGAGTGAGCAACCAAAACTGCTTGAAAGTCAAAGCCGTCCAAACCAATGTGGTCGAAACCCCGCAGTGCTAACAATTAAAGAGCAGCAAACAAAACCCTAAGCTGCTGGAAACCTCAGGAGCGGAAGATGTAATCCAAACCAAGCAGGGAGCTTAAGGGCTAAAAAGAGCGGGGAGCTTTTTCATGCTCCCTATCCTCTCTCTTCCACTTCACGGCCCTCTCCTACCAACTTCATCTTTGTTTCATGCCATTCTATCTCTGTCCCCCTTTCTTTCTTTTCTCTCTCTCTCTCTCTATTCCTTTGCTCCGCCACTTAATGCATTTTGTTGTTGTTTTCGGCGGCGCACAATACCTCCTTGTGCCTCCACTTTGTACTGCACGCTTAATGTTTTGTTCCCTGCGTTTATGGCTTTACACCCCTTAACATGAAAACTGAAACTGCCTCCACGTGGTGCCACAGTGTCGAAGACACGGTCCTAACTTTTAAGTTAATCAAAATATGCAGCCAATGTAGTTCATGCTAAGCAAATATTTTTTGCATTGCATTTATGGGAAACCGACCAAACATTCCTACATTATTTGGCATAGCTGAGAATACACAGAAATCTACTACAAAAATGTTTATTCTAAAATTAAGTTGAGATTAAAACCAAGACTATTTGCCAATTTAACATGTTTGCTACTCTGAAATGCCGAGGCTGTGAGATTACATGTGGCATAAGCAGCAGCACTCAGGTAATAGGCCAGCGACTAAGAGCATGATTTCATTACATTGATTCAGGTAGTTTAATGGAATCAAGACGTGATTAATAGTTGGCAGCCAGCTTAAACAGCTTTAGAGAACTTATGGTTTGCTTATGATTCACCAGCACTGTCTCTAAAGAAAAAGAGTGACAGTTGAGCTCTCAGCCTACCAGTATGAGGACCCAAATGCCACACTAGAAGTGGAATGCTCTGAAAATTTTAGGTATGTGCAAATAGTGGATTCTGAATTCGAAGCGAACTCAAACCAAATAGTGGTTTCAGCAGAATATTTTCGAATTCATCTTGAATAGTATTACTCAGCCTTTCACTACTGCAACATGCTTAGACGAAAACCCAGTTGAACTAGTAGTGAAGGTCGTCACTGAGCTTCCTCTTGTCTGTCCATGCTCTCTTTGCCAACCAGAACCCTTAAAGAATCTTCTAGCAGTTGTAGCAAGAAGCTATTTTGGTCAAAGCTATATGTTGGTATATGGTTTTAATAAGCGCATAAGAGTGAAGTGTAGTAACCCTTTCCGGTTGAAAATAGGGTGCACGTGATGTTTCAATCATGATCGTGCAGAAAGATGTAAGAAACGAATGCGCTGCTTAACTCTGTTTTGCTTGGAGAGAGTGTGACCGCTCGGACAGCAGAATCCCGGCGCTTGGCGTACGGATTATGTCGATCATTCCTCTAGTTGCACTCTTCCACCACGATTTTGGATGATCTTGATTGTAACATCACGTGCACCATATTTTCAGTCACTGAGAGTTACTTTGATGCCCTTATCAAGTTTGTTTCTCGTGACCACCACCAGGGTATTATTTCCGGCTTCTGGTTGGCTACATTCGAATTTGTAAAGACGCACTGGAACGCGCCCAGCCCGCTTTTAATCAATGGCGCCTCCTCATTTGTCTTCTATACTTCCCAGCGAATGGCCAAACTCTCTACATATACGGCTCTGGTCTAACCTACCGCAATCAACACTTCCAAAGAATATGAATACTATTGCAGTTCATCTCAAAGCAAACCTTGAATAGCGTATTATTCGAAACTACTACAGTAAAACCTCGTTATAACAAAATGGGATATAACAAACTAATGGATATAACAAAGTAATCATAATTCCCCTTGCTTGCTATAGTGGGAAGAAATAGATATTGGCTATAACAAACTAATGGTTATAACAAAACAATTACGACCGCTCCTTCAACTTTGTTATAACGAGGTTTTACTGTATTAGAAAATTCTCATATTTTCACAACACTAGAAAATTTTGTTTCCATGCAGTGAACAGCTTGTGCCTTGTCAGCTCAGTATTTTATTAACTCTGTGCAATAGTGCCCAGTCGTGGCTAGTCCTGACAAATTCCTCATATATTTCCTGTCTTCGCAAACTTCAGGCGCCGATTAGATGTACTTCGAATACAATGCTAGAGCTAGTAGTGCATTTGACTGCTTTTTAATGCTCGCACACTCCACAGCCAAACACGAATTCCTCTCCCTCCAAAGGGGATCTGCACAATAACATAAACAAAAGAGGAAATGGATGTGAAGCGTTCAAAGCGGGGCGAGCTAGTTGTGCCTAAGAGCCAGATTTCACATTGGACCACCTGGCCCCACGGATGTCAGCACGAAAAGTTCTGCTCGGAAAACGGTGAAATCTCACCAGTCTGCCTTTCTTTCCCTATGCGGCTGCAGTCCAGAGCACAGGAAATATTGCCCCTATCCCATCATGTCACCCGATACAATGCAAAAAAAGACAAGTACAAGCTAGCACGACAACGCACGAGGCCATCTACAGTCCATCTTGGTCACAATGCCCAAAGTTATGCCACATGCTGCGATCGTAGGGCAATGCCCACGCAAGTTGAAAATATTTTAGTCATAAAACATTCACAGCTTACTTCGGAATTTCAAAATGATAGCCACGACCAAAGAAAGAATACACTTGGAACAAAACAGTGCAACAGATATAAAATTCCATCCATGTTTTTTGTAGTGGTGCCAAGGACAACACCGCATTACCTAGGTATGCCATCAACGTCTTGCAGCCGACTTTGCCGTCGCAGCATGGCCTCTGTGGGTCCCCCGCCTCCATCACCGTGCCCAAAGAGAAGTAGGCTCTGAGACACCCGGCCTTTGTCCTTGAGGTTTTTCACCGTCTTGAGTGCCTGCGGGGAGAGAACAAACCGGTCGGTGCACAACACATAGCCCGGGACATTCGCCTTGATTCCAGTGATCCCACCTGGTTTCATTAGCAATGCAGCTCATATGTGAGGCTGGACACCTGACAAGAAGAAACGCAAGAGGGTCTTGACATTTGCTTTTCTTTTCAATGAAAACATGCCCGAGAAGTACTTGTTTGTTTCTTTGTTTCCCACACAAAGATTTTGGGGCGAAGGGCAAAAGTTTACATTTAGGGTTACCAACTGTCCCGGATTTGGAGGGACTGTCCCGAGTTTTCATCAAGCGTCCCAAGTCCTGGCTTGCCCCTGTAAGGAGAGCTATATGTCCCGGATTTGGTTCAGACCATTTAGTCAGTTGTTTTATGTGATGAATGACAGCACACATGAGCCCCAAGAGCTTAAGCCTCGCTAGTACTGGAGATGTAAAATGAGCTACTAGTTAACGAGCGAGTGGGTACTTTGCAAACAATTATAATTAAGTCACACAGGGACGACTTGAGTTTGACATTCTTCCTCCCGCAATGCCCTAGTTTGTAGATCAGGAAACCTGCTGACTTACCGTGGTAGAAAGATTTTCAAGAGTTGCAACAGACCAAACCTCCCCAGACTTGTAGAAATAGTATTTTCGTGCCTTTGAGCAACACTCCAGTGAATAGGGTAATCTCGATTGTGAAAAACGGTGTGGAAGGACGAAAGGAATTGCGTGAGGAACTCGTTCAGCCACAGTTCCAGGTGAAGCTAAACTTCCATGTCAAATGCGTCAAATCCCATACATTTGAAAGAAAGAGTACCTGCTGCCAGCTGCAAATAGCCAGCTTAATTCTCAGTAATCAAATATTACCCTCGCCACCTCTCCCACCACCACCCCCTCTGTCCTTACTTCCTTCATCAAAGAGTTGGTAACCCTATATACACCCTGCCTGACAAGCCCCAGTCACGCTGGTACGATGCATCAGCAGGAAATAAAAATTATCAATATTACAAAGTAAAAAAAAAAAACATTGGCAGTAAACAATAGCACAATGTTATAAATTTGGTTAGAAATCTACAAAGAAAGAAAGTACTTGACCCATTTCATACAGTGACCATATAGAAAATTATAAATTAGCACTTCAAGAAATTACTGAAAATACCTATTGGCACTGCAATATACAATGTATGCGGATACAATTTGATTGACTAAATTTATTCCATAGGACGTAAGAAGACACACCTTTTTACATTGCTTTTGAAGCTGTGATGTGAAACACTGTTTTGCACTATTCCCACATCTGGATTATCTTTTTATAAAAATGAGGTACTACCGTAAAATACCGCGCATCCGCCCATTCCACATTAACAGTGACGTGATTGGCCTAAGCCGTTTTGGAGCACCTTTTGGAGCAGCCAAAACGGTGTTTTGGAGCAGCAAAAGTGGCCTTTGGAGCAGGCAAAACTGTTTTGGAGCAGCAAAAGTTGCTTTTGGAGCAGCCTAAACAGTGTTTCGGAGCAGGAAAAGTGGCTTTTGGAGCAGATATTTTTAGAGAAATGAACATATTCCTTTTAAGTGCTGGACGAACGAAGGACACTTCGCTCGCCGCAAAAAACAAAATTATGGTCAAGTTAGACCACCTGGGAGTCTTTCAACATGTAACTGAAATGCCAATAACATGACACATTTTACAATGCTTCAGTTAAATTATACATATATATGTAACGTTATTGATAAATAAGAACCGAACTACACATATTAAAATGTATTTGAAAAAAACCAGCTTATTAGTAAATATCACAGCATTAGCTTGACTACCGTAGTTATATAATATAATAAATGGAAGCTCTCTCCGACTGATGAAACACGTAACTATACTGCAGTGCAATGTGAAATTGTACACGAGACAAAGGTGCATTAAGACTAACGTGTGCTTTTCTTTTTGCTTTTCCCAACTTTATACAAGGCTGCTGCAAGCCTCGCTTTGCCTTTGGCTAGTAATGAATTCCCACTTTCAATGTCTCCAAAGAAACATTGAGACATCCCACAAGTGAACAGTGCTGCGGCCGTTGCCGAGCAATTCCGAAAAACCGCTTGCCACCGTTTTACTGGTTCCCGACGTGCCAGATTTTCGTCAAAAGTAAGCAAACGTAAAACGATGGGTTGCAAGAGTCCTGGCTGGAGCCTCTGTCGGGCAGTCATGTTCGCATGCACATGAGGACAACTTCGGCAGGCTAGCATTTGCACGTGCTTCGTCGCGCGAGCGGAGATGGCTGTTCGATCGAAACAGACACCATGCCACTCCGCTCTGTCGCCAACTGGTTCCAAAATTGTGTGCAAAATGTAATTTCCAGCATACGACAAAGAACAGTCCAGCGGCACGTGCTTGCCAGGCCGGCAGGCAAGGTAAGAGCTAAACACACAGAAAAAAGGAACCTGAGCGAGTCAGGTCAAAACAAGACATCGCGAGTCAGGGTCAAAAAGTACTTGGAGCGTTTTGTACAACGAATGAAGCACTGAAGCGTCAACACACGCCCGCGTCTATCGTTGAATATTTTTTTTTTAAAGACGCGAGACGAGACCTATGAACGACGAGAGCGTGAAACGAGAGGTGGCGAGAAAAACTATGCAAGACCGGATGGTCGATTGATGCAGGGTACTTTTTGTTGGGCAGCCGCTTGCGCTACCTAGCTCGTGCACGATCAATTACGGTACTCAGTTTAGTTTCGGTTTCGAAAGACGACCAAAATTGGTCTTTTGGCGCAGGCTTGGCGCAGATTACCCATATCTTGGCAAAATGTAGCAGGATGTAGCAGGGTTAGTCCCTTGGCGCAGTTTGGCGCAATTGGCGCAGCAATCACATCACTGCATTAAGCACCCATTACCAAATTTGTGAGATCTGAGGAAATACGTACAGTACATTTATATGTAAAATTCATGACCAGTCAAGTGCCCATCCCCCACTTTTTTGCAATTATCTCCAAGGTTTGAGTGGGCGCTTGCCCGGTATTTTACGGTAAGTAAGCTAATTTCAGATTTTCATAAGCTGTCCTCACACAAAGTATTCAGAAGGATTCAATGTAGGGCACAAACACATTGTCTTTTAGCTTGGCTTATTTGGCTATTTTACTGGCTGCCTCATTGAGCTTATCTGATAGCGCGATATGGTAGCTTGTAACAGGCCAATAGAGGGTGCAGCGACACCTGAGCGCATTTTGCAAAGGCGAAACAATGAAATCTGGTATTCACCTGCAACTTCAAGTGATGTTGTTTAATTATTTGCACAATCAATATTGAATGCAGCACCTTAACTCAGTATATTACTCCCTTCCTATCCGAATCACATTAAAACATTTTGCTATCTAGTACATACTCCCATAACTACCATGTAAAAGAATACCTGATAAACTTGGGGCAACATTGCCATTTAATACATCAATTCCTCAAATGTTATTGTATAATGGGGAACTAATATGTGACACAGTCAGCACACAGGTAAAGGATGCTCCAAATCGTAGCCGGAGAAGGAGGAAATTTACTTTCCTAAGATTAGATCTTTCTCAGTAGTGGCCGTTTGAGGAGCTCGGCGCACACAAACATACCCTTGAGTTGCGATAAACCTCCGCCAAGCTGGCAGTAAGTACTTCTATCTAGTCCAAAACATTTGAGGGGAAACTTGTCCTTTACTTGAACAAATAATGTTCCTGCTCTTCAAGAGGTGGTTTCAATAGTGAACCACGTAAGCCATAAGCCAGACCAAAGGGCCAACCTGATCTCTTCGTGCAGTTGCTGCAAGGGACTTACGACACCCGAGAAGTGTGAATTTTTGTAAGGGCCACGGCCCACCTTCTCCACAGCATTACCTCGGCGACAGTGACCTCGGCGCTGTAGGTTTCAGCCGGAGCAAAGTGTGCCAGCACGCTGCTCCCGTCCAGCCCCTCCCAGTGGAAGTTGTGGTGCGGGAACTTGTTCACAAGGTTCCAGCTTAGCTTCTGGGTTAAGAACCGAGACAGTCCACAGATCCTGCAAAGCACACAACTGTCTTTATCAACGCGAGTCAATTACAAGAAAAAAGAAGATCCATTGGTGGATCCTTAAGGAACGCGCTAGCATGACCCTTGGGAAATGCCACAAGCATCCCCCTTTGAGAAACGCTAACGCTGACCCCTTTGCTTTTTTGTTCTGGCTTTCTCTCTTGCTTCCCCTATTTTTTGCAGCCTCTATTTGGCTTTGTTACGGGGTCTGTGTAAGCATTTCCCAAAAGGGGACATGTGTGGCGTGTCTCAACGGTCATGCTAACGCATTCTTTAACGATACACCACTCAACCTTCCTTTAAGTGTCACTTAGCAAGAAGGAGCGTTGGCTTGCCGCTTCTCGCGCCGCATTTCGGCCAGCCGAGCTAGACTCTGCTTCCGCTCCTCCGTCTCATTTGGCCACCTTGCACACTCAGCAGCAGCATCCGTTGCCCGATGCTGCTTTCGCTGTTCAACGGCTTCCCACGCGTGCATTGGCTTCCACTTCATGACATTGCCTCCCTCTCGCCTTTGTCTTTCACTGCTCTCCTCCTTTCTATGCCGCGTGCTTCCCTTTCCACTGTTTTGTCCACAGACGGACGGCGTCCACTGTTCTCTGTCATGTGGGTACTAACTCTAACACATTAAAAAAAAGAGCACCACTCAGTAACAAGTTTGAAGTAGTAAAAAAAAAAAAAGCACCTCGATTTATACTTTACGACTACCATATTTTACGGTGTATAAGACACTTTTTTTCCAAAATTTTCGGCGGTGCATCTTAGACACAGGTGCGTCTTATATACAAATTTTTACTTAGAAACTTGAAAAAAAGGGGGGGGGGAGGTGCGTCTTATACAATGATGTGTCTCATACATAAGACACTTTTTCTCCACAATTTTCAACGGTGCATCTTATATACAAGAGCGTCTTATATACTACTTTTTACTTAGAAACTTGCAAAAAGTAGGGGGTGCGTCTTATACACCAGAAAATACTGTACTCATAAGCATCAAGCACAAATAAAATCCAATCTAGATCTTCGCACATTGAAAGATAGAACTAAACCTGCATATCTTATCATTTTTCACAAAATCTATAGTATCCCTCTTCTTTTCGACACCATTACTCATCCACCATCACACACCTGCCTGTATCGTGACTACAACTTCAAAAGTAAATAATCCATTTGCGAGAACTAATAAATTTCAAGATTCTCCGCTTTCTCTAGCTATTAGAGAATGGAATTCTCTCCCTGAAACAATTGTACTTGAAACTAATCAGAATAAATTCAGTGATCTTGGCAGACACACCTTAAAAATGTTTTCTATAATTTCCTGTTAATTTGTTTTTTTCTACTTCTTTCAAGACACGTCAGTTGTAAGTAAGCGCTCTGTCCTGTCCCCTTCTTCTCTTCCCAATCATTTGCGCTTTTTCACGTCATGTTTAAAATAGTCTTGTGTGAATATTAAATTTTGAGTTCGAAGCGAATTCGAAGCAAAAAATGGTTTTGGCCAAATATTTTTGATTTGAATATCGAATAGTTTTTCTACGCCTTTCACTACCATAGCATAATGCTTACACGAAAACCCAGCCAAACTTGTGAAGGTTATTCCACTTGTTCATTTATAAGCTAAGTTTAATTATCTATATTTATGAACTGTGACCTCACAAGGTCTGACGTCTTGGGATGGCAAGTAAACGACGGATTTAACATAAAATGAATCATACAGAGATGGCCAACTATACCCAATTGAGTGAATTTACAAATCTTGCTATATAAAATATTCTTTTTTTAATTTTGAGTTAAAAAAGAAAAAACCGCACATGATGGACGCAGGTTGTAAGGGTATCTCTGTCTAACATAGTATACTCTTGCATAACAGTCAGTTTAATTTTATAACTTTTACTAAAGTTTCCATCTATTTTTAAATACAGCTAGCACTCGTGCACCATCCCACTTTAAATGTATGCTTTTCTTCAAAGCATGCAATTGCGAAATTCATGAGTGCGCTTCTTACCGAGCACCGGTGTAATGCAGAGAAGCAACACCCGCGGAGATCGCTTCCGCGGGTATTGCTTCTCCGCAGTGCATCCGTGCTCGATAACAAGCGCACTCAACGGGGCTAACCCGCCGCAATCAACACTTCGAAAAACGCGAATAGTGCAGCTCTTTTCGTAGCGAATACTGAATAGTGTATTATTCAAAACTACCATTCGAAATTTCTAATATTCGCATGACCCTAATGTTTAACCAACTAGCCCACCAGTTAATTTTAATAAGATAGACACGGTCGCCTTACAGTACATCGCACGAAGCACACAACGAGGACAGATGAAGTCCGAAGCGCACCTTTTTGCACACAGCGCTTTGGCGGTGACATCACATTGATGACGTATGATTACGCTTGATGACATCACGCTGATAACGTATTTTAGAGCTGTCCGTTTCTGTGTTGAGCAGCGTCGGTGTAAACGTAACCGCGTGCGTTGCATTACGAGACATCACAGTTTCCACGCTAAATTTAGCGGGGAAACTGAACTGGTGTTGAGATCACGTGACGTCAATTTCCCTGCTAAATTTAGCAAGGGAAACTTAACTTGCTAAATTTAGCAGGGATAGTGATGTCATATGACCTCAACACCAATTCAGTTTCCACGCTAAATTAGGCAGGGAAATTGAATTGGTGTTGAGGTGACGTGACATCAATTGCACCACTAAATTTAGCAGGGAAATTTCTGCAAAATTTCAAGCTAGATTTGGCAAAAAAATTTCACTAAATTTCCCACTAAATTTAGCAGAGAAATTTCCCTGCCAAATTTAGGGGAAAAATTTTCACTATATTTAGCCGGAAATTTTGCGAAAAATGCCCGCTAAATAGGACGCGAGGAGGAGGAGGGGGAGGAGGGGCATACCCTCCCCTCTTCCTCCTCAATAGATTTCTCATTACAAAGAATTGTAAATGTCTAACTTTTTTATGGCCATCTTTAGGTCACTTTGCCGACGGACGCCACTTGTATGTCCCATACTGTTACAAGTGAGGTCACCCCAGAGGTTTAGGACGACTTCTAGGACGACCACAAAGACAAGAGTCGTCCTTGAGCATACGATTGACCAGCACCATGCCGCTCAATCACATTTTTATGGCCATTTACTCCGATTTGTCACTAAATGGGACAAACAAGGCTTTCACCTTAATCAACTTAACTGAACTTTTGAAACATCACAGGCTTCTATTCACGGCATCACTGCCCGGATAAGGATAAGGGTATCCTTACCTCATGATCTGGGGCAGTTGAGCACTGTAGCCAAAGGTGTCAGGAAGCCAGAACTCCTTGCAGCGAGAACCAAACTCCTTCTCGAAGAACAGCTGGCCGTACAAAAACTGCCGCACAAAGCTCTCCCCGCTGTCAAAAGGAATAGAAAACCGGACGAAAACATGTCATGTTGACATACATGGGGAGGTTTAAGAGTGAGCTTAATTTCGGAGAAAAATAATTTAGCTTCTTTGGTAATTTTCTTTTCCTCTCAAAGTTTACTTGCTCGGCAACTTTCAGCATAGTTGCCACTAATACCAGTGCATTTTTTCTGACCATGGATCGAAAAATATTAACAAAAATCATTGTTGCCGATTCACAAAAATTGTCTTTTGTCGCTTTTCCAGCTGTTCCTGACTCCCCGATGTTGTCACCTTTGTTCTCATATCTTTTTCTGCGCAAAAGAGCCTTGATTTTGTGGGAAAGAAAGAGACATGCTGGTGCCAGATCACAAGGTGTAAGGACAGTTAAGCCTTTGGGGTTTGGGGGGACAATATTCGTGGTCCCCCCTGCCAATTTTGCTGTTGTTTTGTTGATCGGGTGAGGGGTATTTTCTCATCTGCTCTCGGCCGGCTGCGTGTTTGTCGTATGCGTTTTTCTTTTTGTGGTGAGGATCATTATGTTACGGCAAAGGCACTGTGGTGGCATGAACTGACAACATGCCAGACCCTACGGGTCTGGACAGTGATGTCAGCCGGCGTCCGTTGCGGGCTTAATAAATGTCGGTGTCGACTACAGGTCCGCGAACTTCACATGCCCTTGTAAAGGCTTGAAACAATTGGCCGTCCCCTGCCCAAAGACAAGGAGATCCGAGCCCTAGATAGCCCCCGCCCAGCATTATGGCTGAAACTCCTTATACCTTTAATATGCCACCAGCCGATTTCTCGCTTTTCCACAAAATCAAGACTCCCAGCACGGAGAAAGCTACAAGGACCAAGATAATGCCATTCCGGAGATTCTGAAACGGCTGGATAACTGACGAAAGACGATTTCGTTGAGTGTTAGGAAAAATAGATTCACTGTCTCAAGAAATGCATCAATATTAGCAGCGATGTACTATGTTGAGAAGTGCTGAATACTGTAAGTTTTCAAAAAGATTACCAAGGAAAGTTATATATATTTTTACAAAAATTATAATTACTTTTGCACCTGACCTACATTCTCAGGTATGCCCGACGATCAACAACAACCCCATCCCTTCCCTACCGCTTTTTGCTATGAAAATGTCGACGATAATACTGTGGTTAATAGAGATGCTGCAAATTTTATTTCAACCATAGGTTCAAAGACTAAACCAAGGGGTCCAAAATGTTTAGAAAATCTTCTATCTTTCAAGCCTACAAAGTTCAAAGGTTTGATGAGCTTTTAGCTTTTGAGCAAAACGTTCAACAAATTTCGAACAAACTTTACCCTCCAAGATTGGTAAGAAATATAAACACCAGAAAGATATGAATATGTGGAGTGGAGTGGAAATTGCACTGAAGCTTCACTTAGTCATTAGGTATTGGGGCCCACTTTGAGCTGGCCTCGGGCGAGTTTAATTTGGTTGTGTGTTGCTCAACCTGGAGCTGTCCCGGGTGCTGTGCGTGTATCCCTGTGCCCAGTATCTTCTTTATCCCACATGCTATTCCACTGAAAATAAATGCCCAGAGCGACTACAACTTTTTGGAAAGACTGCTGTCGTCATATGCATGCGTCATATTTCATATATTGTATAGTTTCATAAAGCATCGCATTTAGGGGGTGTTCAAGTAGAAAGAACGTCCACCGGAATGCGTCAAAGCTTTTCATTGAACCGTTCAACTGGTTCAACGCTGGTTTCTTAAGTTTCAATCATCATCATCATCAAATAACGAAAGTAACAGGTAGTACCGCGAGTATAAGAGTACTGAGAAGAAAGGAGTCTCTTTACCATTAATGAAATGGTCAACCTTCTCAGCAAAATTTGGCACATATTTCCCAGTTTTTCAAGATGAATCCGTGAACACTTAATTCGAAACTGCGAATTTCAATATTTGTTTGTGAGAAGCGGGGACTTCAAACTTGAGTTCGAAATTATCTATGTTTTTAAACTTGTACACGAAAGAAGTTCAAGGTTTTAATATTTTTCAAATTTAAATCTGAAAAAATTTAGAGGCCTTTTAAATTTTTTAGCATGATCTATAAAGAAATTTAAAATCTTTGAACTGAAACTTTCATAAATCTTGACATATTCAAACTTTCCTAATTTGAACAATAAAGAGGTTCAAATTTTCTAGACCTCTCAAACCTCGAGAGGTTTGCGGCCTCCCGAGTGGTTATTGAAGATGTTTCGTGCTTAGAGCGGACAACAAGCACTTGCACTCATTGCAACCACACATAAGGCTTCTACAGCAATTTAGAGACTACACTAGATATTAAAAAAATGACCGCATCTCCACGTGGTGAATGATGTTGATTGGGGCGAAGCTCTGGTGGTGCTGATGATAGTGATTCTATTGTTCATAGGTAGTGCTCATGGTGCCGATTTTTTTTATTGCTGATAGGTAGTGCTGAGTTCCGGGTTGCGTTTCGACTTCATTACTACTGCTTTATGGTCGGTGAAATGCACAGCCAGTGGTTCTTCTAGCGGATCAGCTTGGATCCCCTAGAAGCCGTGGGAACGCATCTCCACCACTTAAGTCAACGGTCCATGTTAGAAAGAGAATATGTGGTATGGAACGTGGTTATATACGCATTTGAGCATTTGACCGCAGCACCCTCTCGTCTATAAACGTTGAGCCAATGCATGCAGAGTTTAACGCGATTATATATGCATTTGACCGCAGCGCCCTCTCCTGTATAGACGTTGAGCGGCTACATGCAACGTTTCATCTATGACAGAAACCCCAGCTCTTGAGTTACTACCACATCTCAGAGCCCCCTACTCATCTCGCAGTCGTGGCTGAGTGGTTAAGGCGATGGACTAGAAATCCACTGAGGTCTCCCCGCACAGGTTCGAATCCTGTCGACTACGCAAACATTTTTTCTTTTTATGTGAGCACGGACACCGGACAGACGGACAGACAAGGCTAGACCCTAAGGAGCTTCGCCCCTAAAAATATAAGGTATGCAAACTAAAAACATGTTCCCTATACCCCATTCCCCTTAAAGTTCTCTTCCAGGGGAAATGGGGAATAGGGAATGAGTTTGGGGTGAAGGATGAGGCAGATGATTATTTCAGTTAAAAAAACTAGCATAATACTTGAGGGTGTAGCCAGGCCTTCCACTGTTTGTAAAGAGTTAACAGCCTGGCATCCAGCAAAAGTAGTTTAGCAAAATGTACATGCTTGCAGCTTTAGGAAAGAGGGCTGGCCATGCACCAAATGCAGTAACACTAAGAATGATAGTAATTACTTAGAAACTATTTCGTGGAAGAGTGTACTGGGTGTCTCGTAGGAAAGGGCAACCTGTCTATTTCACTGCAAAAATAAATTATGCATTGCCGAATGCTCGGTCACCACCAAAATGTATCACTAGCGGTTCGGACCAGACGTGCGTTTTAGAACTTACCATTATCTGATACAAGTCACGAAAGATTTTCAAAAAGTTTCGGTAAGAAAATGAAGCCCGTTTCTGGTAGTAGATGCCACTCCTCTCCGCACATTTGTGGGCTTCGTTTGCCGCCATTTTCACACTGAGAATTTCAGGAAATCACGAACAATGTGGCACAAAACTGCACACAGAGATAATGGTAAGTTACAAAACTCAGGCATTTGGACTCAATGGCTAGCGCTACATTTGGCTAGAAAATGAGCTTTCAGCAATGCATACTTCATTTTTGTGGCGAGAAATAAAATTTTTTTCTCTCTGAAACGTTTGGTACAGCAGTAATGAGCACAATGCCATCATGGTGTCCAAGGTGATACCTGGGCAAGTTCCCGTCCATTTCCACCCAGGTCCCACCGACAGGAATGAACTGCCCCTTCCTTGCATAGTGCTGGATTCTCTCGAACAACGAAGGGTAGTCCTCCTTGATCCACTGCAACTGCTGAGCCTGGAAGATTCGCATTGTCCAAAAAGATGATTTTAACAAGAGGCCAAAGCCCTGTTCTTGTTGAAGTGTCTGCTCCAAAGAAGCCACTGCAAAAAGCACCACTTGGACCTCTTTAGTTACAAATCACTATCACTAACAAATGCAAGATTTGACAACATAGAGATCAAAGAGCTCGAGGGAGTCTGACAGTAACCATAATATGGGTTACAAAGTTTGGCCATTGTGAACCAATAACACAATGAGCCTGAACATTGTACTGGGAATGTGTACCTAAAGGTTGACTCTCAAAATATCTTCCAGAGGGGTCAGGAGGTTCTCCCTTTCTCTCTTTATACTTGTAAATGAGTGAGAAAAAGAGTTCTTTGTGTATGAATTTTGGGCAACACAAACACCCTAAATTTTTGAACAAAAATTTTTTTTCTTTTAAATTTAAGGAGCCTCTCAATTACCTTTTAACTAATGCTTTTAACCAAAGTACCAAAGTAAAACTTTGATACATACTGAAATAAAACATGCATTGGTTCCTTATTCCATGTGCGTGCAGTACCAGAAAAAAAGAAGGTATGGCCCATAATACAGGAATGTTGACTGTGCCATCACCATGCAAGTCTCACAGGGGTTTGGACTTCCTTGGTCTCATTAGCACCTACCAATGCTTCCGGCTAAGCTAATTTGCATTTGTGTGTGTTGCAGCCGTGCGACTTACCTGAGAACACGCAAAGCGGTACTGCGGATACCTCTCCATGAGTAGCAGTGCAGAGGCAAAGCTCCTGGCGCACTTGCGCTTGGTCTCAGCATAAGGCCACAGCCAGGCACTATCGATGTGACAGTTTCCCACAGCCACAATTGTGTGCTGGCTCTCCCCGTTCCGCTGCGAGAAGAAGTGGTCCGCTATTTCCTTCGCTGCCTTCAGCGAGCCCCTTCAAACGAGAGACAGAGTGGGAGAGCACAGTTGGTTCCCAGGCCAGCGAGTGTCACAAGCATGAAAGAGACCTTGCACTGGGGGTCAGTTGGTTAATGAAAAAAATCTTTTCGGTTACATTTTTTATATTACATATATTACAAAGTATTAATTAATAGGAATGTGTTTTTGATTGAACCATTTTTAATGTCAGGGAGAGTCAACCACACAAACAAAATCTAACCCTACTCATTTCACCTTTTTTTTTCTTCCAAGGAATAGTACTGATGAATGGAAGATGCAGTCAAAGGATGTATTCTTAACTATAATATTCAAAATGCTGTTTGGTATAGTCGTTTGACAAGTGTTTGAAGAATAGTGTTTCCAGTCTTCCAGTCCCGCTAAATGAAAAATGTCTTTTTTACCCCAGTTGTTTCCATATACTGTAAACAACTCTTTTGTCGCGGGCTTAATATTTTGGGATTTAGGTCAAAGCCAAAGTTTTGGAATAATTCACGGGTTGTAATTTTCACGACGCGGTGGGATCTCAATATAGATTCTAATGTGTTTACATTTTACCAAAATTGTTTGCGGGACCTATTGTTCTCGAATTGTAGGCGATTCGCAAAATCCACAAAAATTAGGTCCTCGCGAAAATTAGGTCCTTGCAAAAATTAAGTCGTTTACAGTATAATGCACCTTTTATACTACTTACGTTTATAGATAATGTTTTGGTTGTATTTCAGTTATGTCACTGAACGTTCCCTTTCTTTTTAACCCAAACCTTACAAATTGTTTGACGGTGACAAGGTTTTTTTGTAAGTAAATAAATAAAAAGCACTATGCAAAAGAACATGGTGTAGAACGAAACAGGGCAGGTGCGACTTCCATTCTTTCCAAATCAACTGTCAAAGGAAACAATTTCCCTTTCAAGTGCGTGTTGCATCTTCTATAGATGCAAAAAAAAATGGTTTCTCATGATTTTGCACATTTACTCAAAAAGACAGTGACATCTCCGAAAATGTTTTTTTAATTTATTTGCCAGTCGATTTAATATGATGTCAAGAGACTACTCAATAAATATTTTTCTACGGAGTTGCATATATTTTTAATAAAGCGAAAAACCTCAACTGCTCGAAACCGAAATCAAAAAACGAGCATGGAAGTTGATCGCTGGAAGTCATGTAACTACACCCGACTACATTTTTTTTTCCCGACGCTTTTTCGGTGTGTGGAGGAGACGACAGAGTTACATTCTCCGCTTGTCATGCGATTGTTTGCACTTTATCCCTACCGCTCAATGTTCTGCGCTTGAATATCAAATGGCCAGTACCATGAACGACAGTTCCAAAGTAGCGGCCCCACATCCATCGTAACGTTGATCCGTCGTGCACCGCCATATTGATGATGGCATATGCATGTACTTCTTGTAATCTATACAACATTCTTTTTTTTTTTTTCTATCAATGTATTTGCAGCTTTTTGGAGGTCACAACAATGGGGTTCGTATTCTTTCCTTTTTTAATACTGAATGTGTGCCTTAGATGACTCATGAGTCATGACTTTGAATATATTTGGTTCATGCCACTGACCAAGGCAAATGGAATGAGCACAATTGAAACCGGCCAATTCTTGACCGGCTGTTTTCCGGTAAAAAGAAAACGAAGATTGAGCCACAAAGTTTGCTCTCAGTATTCGGGCTCTTACTGGTCATGTTCAAAAATGAAAATCTTGGCGAGCATAAATACCTTGTCAGTGTCCCTTTAATGTTTAAATGAGCCAATGAAAAAAGTGTTCCTGCATTCAGATTTTATGAAACTTTTAATAATTTTGATGGGGCTACACCTATAAACAGGGTTTTGAGTTTTCAGGCTTTTTTTTAATTTTTGAAAGTTGATGCTTTCATGAGCATGTTTTTATCAAGACAAAGTTTTCTAGGGCTTGCCTCCGATGGTTGACCACATGCGCATGCAGCACTGTTTTGGGTGGAGAAGTTTCGTATTTGACGCTAACCTGTATGGGTTGACTGCAAAAAGACTAACATTGTATTTTGTCTAGCTGCGTTGTATAAGCCCCGAAAGCAAACACAACCGTTGCTGTGGTCGCCGCGCTCTGATTGGGTGAGGTGTACCGTGACGTCAGGGGAAGGACTCCGCTTCTCGATCTCACATCCGGCTCGCTTCCCCGCCCCGGTTTCCCGGTTTGGCCGTTCTGTGCCGCAAGCACTTCAAGGAGCGGGACCTTGTTTACCCGGTGTAGAAGACGCTGGGTTAGGCTGATATCAATGTGTTTCCGTACCTTTTATAAGCGTGCTTGACACTTTTACCTTTATAATTGGGTTACAAATCCCAAAAGCTGTCGGAGGAGGCAATTCCACCGATGAACCTCCTTGTCGATCCACAGGGCACAAGAAAATTATGCGAGGGGTCGGTGAAGTGGCGGTGGCACAAGTGTTTCAGACGCCGGAATTCTGTTCCTTGCGTGTTTATGATTTAAACAATATTACATCCCGCTTTGCAGGCGTTTGCAATGGCATTTATATCAAAGGTTTTTGTGCAGTCGGCAAATTAGACCGCGACTCTCCGCGTGCCACTCTGCCTGCGTTGGTTCGCAGATGTTTTAAAGGCCATAGATCTGAAGGCCTTTGAAGTGCTCGTGGAACAGGGTTGTTTTACATAAATGTAGCTTCTTCGTGAAATAATGATATAGTTTGTACACGTATGCAGGCATGTTTTATTTTTAGAAGATGCACAATTACTGGACATCTGTTTGTAGGATAGCAGGAAAAACGGCCGAATCGCCCCCAGTCGCCAGTATGAGATGTATTGAACTGCGTAAAATATGCACAGCAATAGTACTGCAATTTGGAATGTTAATACTTTTTCCTGATATTCTTCCTTTACTCCAGCCTTGTTTATTCGGAAAATACACCGTTTAGTTTGAAATGTCATTTCCAATTAACAGAGACACTGCTGCAGGTCCCCAAAAGCTTCCTCGGCTTCCAAACTCTCTACAGCTTGACCCTCTGACAACAGAGGAAAACAGGAGGAACAACAAGCTATCGAACAGCTCTCCATTGGTAGATGCTGCAGTAGTAGTAGAAAGAGTGGAACCTGTGAAGGGTGACAGTTTGTGTGAGAAAAGCTTCTGGTATTTTAGCTTCCGGACAATTTGATTTAGCTAAAAATCTCAACTTTAGAGCCTAAGGAACTACCGTAATACCGGGCTAGACACCTTCGCTTACGTTTGTTCTACATTTCTCGAGGGATGATATAAACAAGTCCACATATACCACCAGTGCAGTCCATTGAAATACTGTCCGAATTCAGCAAAGGTCAAATGTGAGCAATGCATATAAATAAATGTTCCTTCTTTCTTTACTTTGCCTCTGTACTTGGGTTGCCTCACTTGTATTCCCTCTCCGTGGCCCAGACTATATTTAACATGTTGCTCGAGCAGCATGCAGCTTTTTTGTTTCGGCGGTTTTGTTTAAAAACAGAGAAACAAAACAAAACAAACAAAAAAACGAAATTGTATGCATAATCTGCCAATTCATTTCGACCATCAGCAGCATTGATTGTGTGACATGCTAATCTCTAGTGAGGGTCTAATTGTGGCCATATTTCTTCATTTTTGTATACCAGCTGCAATTCATGCGTTGCCTGCCCTGTTAACCATGCCTGAAATGTTAGTTGGACCTTTGCCTGCAGCTACAGGCCACACCTCAATGAAGCAACATATGAAAATTTACACTTCCTATGAAAAACGTGCACAAAAAAAAATTATATATAAACGAGCGCGCCGAAAGCTAACGTCGTCAAACCCTTCACAGGACGAGCGGGGTGAGACAGGGAAAAATTCTGTCCTCGCCGTGACGTCACCCCGGTTCGCCGCAAGGGGGCGCCACGCAAACTTCTCGAGGCTAATAGCGAACCTGTTAAATGAACTCACCTGTTGCTCAAGTCCACGCAGTTGACAATCTCGTTTGCAGCAAACATGGCCTCGTAAGAACGACTCCCGTCACTGGGAAGTTCTTTCGCCATGTCAACCAACAGCTGCAGATCTGTGACTAAGGAGTCAACCTGCCAATCGAAATGACGGTGACAAGTCAACGAAAGAGATGCTGAACCATAAACTCACGCAAACAGGTAATATGACTTGGCAAGGTTATGGCAAACAGGTAACAACACGAATGCACATAACAGAAAAAAAATAAAAAATAAAAGCAGTTTTCTAAAAAAAGAAAGTTAATCTTTTTCAAGTTTTTTAATGGTGGTGTTTTAGTAAAAGTCTGGCCACACATAACTGGATTTTTAAATAACTTTTAAGTAACAACAACCCAAAGAATGATTGAGTAACATCAATATCAGTTTTGGTCTTCCCATCATGATAGTTGTGCCAGTGCAAGTAAGACGGATAGCAGGAAGGGAATTCTTACACTGGTGCCGAGCATGGGGCCAGTTTAGAAATTCCTTTGCTGCTACCCGTCTCGAAGAATGACACAATGCACCGGTTCAACAACATGCAGTCATTTATTTCCAGTCATTGCCCGCACTGCAATCCCAAAAGTTTTTGCGCATTCACTGCGACGGCCTTTATTCAGCGGGTAGTACACGCTCAACCAGTCTTGGGTAAGTTACTTTTAAAAAGTAATTCGTTACAGTTACCGTTACTTTCAGAAAAAAGTAGCGAAGTTACCGTTACAGTTACCGCAACAAAAGAGTAACTCGTTACAGTTACTTTCAAAAAGTAACGACGTTACTTTTCAATAACGCAAAAAAAAAGTTAGGAAAAACTAGTGTATGAAAGAAACAAAATATAGACACGAATCAGTCAGGCTTCCACCATAGCGGTAAATTCGAACTTTATAGTTTAGCTGGAAAATTAGTCAATATTGTAAAAAGAATAAAGTCCAAAATTCAACTAAATGTGTTTTCTCAGATATGAACACGAAGACTTGTTGTCGGAGTACTCCTTGTTGCAAAGTTTGCATACTGCGGTCAACTTGTTAGCAACCCCCTTCACAACAGCAAAATACTGTCTGTACGCCGTTCACGCTAGTTCTTTGTTCTCATCAATATCCCTATCCTTGGTAGCACTAGCACATTGCTTGCTCGTTGACGGTTGCGCTGGGCTCACAGAGTCCTTGGACATATTTCAGTACGTACACGGCAAGCCAGAAACAAACCCCGCGCAAACAGCAGTAACTTTTGCCTACACTGTTGACACCACGCCGGAGCAAATCAAAATATGAGACATACGAAGTGCCGTCCGCGTGTATTGTTGTTGCATGGTTGATTCACTCAATTAAAAAGTGTGCGCAGAAAAAAAAAAAGACCGCAATAGAGATAGTGTTTCAAGATACTAAGATGTAAGTGTTCAGTCACAAAGCATATGCACATGCGTAAAGATAACTAGATTCTTCTTCTTTTTTTCCATCAAATCTACACGTGGCTATATATTCGGGTCATGACTTGCGAGAAAGAATGTATTCGCAAGTTTGTGCAAGGCCAACTGACACTCGAAATGTCGGAACAGACAATCTGGAAAGTGCAAGGAATAGCTAGATTATACTCGTCCAATGATATATAATTCATAAAAAACTGAAAAGTAACGACAAAAGTAACGTCGTTACTTTCATCGTTACTTTAGAAAAGGTAATAGAACTACAGTTACAAGTTACGTTCTTAAAAAGTAACTCGTTACAGTTACAAGTTACCGAAAAAGTAACAAAGTTACAGTAACATGTTACTAGTAACGCGTTACTACCCAAGACTACGCTCAACTGACTGGGCGTTGCACTACTTATGGCACCTTCGCTGAGCTTTTATCTTTCTGTGCAGTGCTGAAGAATAAAACACCTTTAGACGTCCAAAGTCGGCTAGATTCAATGTTGCAAGACAATCAAAATTGCCAGATTCACGCCTCTATCGCTAAGGTATGCATCTTTTATCTTTGTGTGGTAATGTGAGAACATGTAACGTCCCAAAACGTTTTTTCCTTTTTTTTTTTTGTGTGTGTTTTTAGTTGCATGAATTGGTGTTTTTTGGCTCACACTCTTAGTGTGTCTTCGACCTATGCTTCAACAGCATTCAAATTTTTGTTGCTCCTTTGTAAATTCCACAGGATCTCGCGTTCAGCACAAGAGCAGGCAACCTTCTACATGTGTAACAGTTTGAGAAGCTCAAGTTTGTATTGCCCAAAACAAGTCCTCACGAGTCTCCTTCCGCAAGGTCTCATGGGCAACGCAGGAGGTCTATGACGTCGCGGGCACAACGGATATCCCGAAAGGTATCACACTTTTTGGTGGCCGCCAAAATCCGGCATTTAGAACGAACAATGTAGCCATCAGCTCAAAATACACGCGTGAAGTTATTATTTACAGGTATTAATGATCCTATTCAACTTATTTCCTAATGTCCTGGATAAATTTTAAGTTACAATTCAGTATCCCTTTAATGTTCCTTTGACACAGTGTTACAAAGTGGCTGTACTTCTCTTAATGTTCTGCCATTTCCAACTGTCGGTGGCTCGGTTAACAGCAATAGGTAAGGGGCTACCGACAAAGTGGCTCTCACCTCCCTGTCGTAAACTGCAATGTCAGCTTTCTTCAGAGTGAACATTTTGTCTGGATCGGGGGCACTGATCATGGTCGGGCTGCCAGCACCAAACAGGTCGTTGCAAGCCATCTCAATGAAGAACTCATGATGAAGGCAGGACACACTGGCCGACGGCGTAAGCACAAAGAACAGCCGTTCTTGGTGCCCGACTCCACCTGAAAAGGGTTTGTCCTTCCACATCTAGGACCCAGTCCCAGTCAAAACGACAATCTGCATCTAGTATCTTAACAATAGTTAGTGGAAACACAGGTGCACACGACATCGGGTATTATCAGAACACTCTAAAGGCCCGGCACTCTAAAGGCCCGGTGTGAAACTGCAGAGCGTTTGTAACGACAACGCAAACACTCTGCAGTCGTGCGCTGGGCCGTTAATGCGCTCCGATAGTACCCGGTGCCACACCCTCCTGTGTTCCTGCTAACTGTGGCTAAGATAGTACAAAGTAGTCAGATTTTTTTACATACTGTGCTCACCAAACTTGTATGAGACACAAAAACTATGTTTTATCCATGGTATAAGAGGGAGAGGTGACTAAACGGGGCTGCTTCGCGTGGTGCGATAACGTTCTGCGTTCTCTGGCGCACCGACAGATGGCGTTACAAACTCTGGCGCGTTGAGATGGCCTGTCGGAGTCAGTTGTGTGGCCCATAAGCCCTGCTCTCTCGCTGCTAGCAGTAACTATGATAGCTTTTGCAGCACAATAATAATGCCAAACAGCTCGCGAATCTACTGTGGTGTGTGCTCGAAACTACAAAGGCGCTCCAATAACAATCCGCCTTCAAGGGGCCATGTGGCTCCCCCAAGTCAAATAAATATTACTCTATTACTATCACTTCCGCCGTGTAGAGGGTTCTGCAGTTCTCCAAACCCGATTTGACGAAAACGATCAAGTGCCACATAACCCAAGTATTATACCAAGTATTGTAAATTGATGCTGACCTCAATCACTTTAGCATTGTCTCTTTATAATGGGAGTTCAAAACGTTTGATAGACAGTCAGTTTATTTTAAGATGCATCTAAACAATATAAGGAATTTTTCAAACTGAAAATCAGCAGTTTAATGGGTACTTAAAAGAAAAGCGACGCCACTTGGCAACATATACAGCAGCTCAAAAAAGCTTGAACAGCTTTTCCGTGTTTCTTGACTTTCTTTTTGCCTTATTTTGCTTCTGCTGCTTGCAGTGCTGCCTCATCCTCATGCAAACATAGTAGTGCAGCAGCTTTGCCAGAATGTCTTCCTTGTGCACGGAGCAAGGGGAACCTAAAAGGGTGTGTGAGCAACAGATGCGAGTGTCTTACTGTACACATGATTATCGCTTGGCTGTCGCACAAACTCCTTCTCCGTGGCCTTCAGCAGGTAGTATACATTCAGGTTCGGATGAGTGAGCTTTTCACATGCTTTGCGGTTGACTACACCTCCTTCTGGGAGGCCACAAAATCCCAGCTGTTTGACGAGACCATTTCTGCAAGCTAGACAAGTGGTCTTGTTACCAATCTTTGTACAGAGGTAACCAGTGGCATGATATTATAGTATTATAGAATTTACAGTCTCTGCACATCTGTAATCACAATTGAAGACATCTTCACACCCCAACTTCCTTCCACAATTAGTCCGTCGAGTCTTTCCTTCAAGCTATCAAGCCATGCGTTTGCTGCACGCCATCACGAAATGCTACCCTTATGTCAGCAAGAGTGATGCCTGGCACGGTCCTTCTGCAGTAACGGTGCAGTTCCCAAAGTCTGGTGGCAAATAGTTCCCAAAAAACACTTGAGGCAATCTTGGTTCATTTTGGCTGTCAATACATAGTCAATGCCACAGCCACAGCAATGCCACAGCAATGCCATAGTCAATGCTACAGTAGGTAGTTCAACAGTTCTACAACTGACTTCAACATCCCTCTGAGGCCTTCTGCAGTAGAGGGAGTCAAGAAAAAGCTCTTGTTAAATTTTTTAGCCTTTTGAAGCGAACACTGGAATAAGCTGGAGATAGCTGTCGGCAAGTGTAGCAAAAGCAAACACAAGGCCATGGTCTGCAAGTTCCTCAGTCACCATCAGCCTGTCCATGGTCAACGAACCCAGAGTATGTCATTGTCTTCAAATTGACAGCCAGTTCCTTCACAACTTAAATTTCATCGATTAGCAACATCCTTCTTCGTTCCATAAGGCTCTTGGTTGCCATCTTGGCTGCAAAAGCTGTCAAAAACAACTCATCAAGGCTACACTTCAGCCTCATCATGCTGATGTATTTCTTGATGGTGGGGTTGCAGGGCAGAGGAAGGGTGTCATTGGTCCTCAAAACGGCCTATGTAGAGGAGCTTCGAATGTGAAGAAGAAGACACAGCAGGAGCCACTCATCACAGCGTGCCTTCGGTTTCTCTTGGTTGTACATTGTGTCACTGAAATGCACTCTGTAATCAGCAGTAATTATGCAGATGGAATGTTGTGCTGCTCCAGCCAGTGCTGAAGCTCATCATTTTTAAACAACTTCATCTTGTCTTTTGCAATCTGCAGCTCCTTCAAGAGCACCTTGTTTCTTGCCAAAAGACATACCTTAAATCTTCTCAAAGACGTCTTGGCCATGCGGGGTGTTTCTATGTTGTTTTCATTGGCTTGACTGTAATGGTGCCCCAATACACTGTAGTGTCCTCTGTTCTTCTTTTCTTGCCAGCTGACAAGAAATGTGGATGCGCAAGGTGTTGCAAAGGGTGCTGCAAGCCTCGCATACAATCCCTTAGGTCAGTGTCATTGAACAACGAAAGCGCCTCCAGTTTCTTTGAGGGTCACCACAAGCACACTCCTGCTCTGCTTTGAGATTTTCCTCAATGCTGGGACCCCCAAATGAATCTTGACTGCTTCACTGTGTTAAGAATCTGTTCTACTTCAGAGAGGAGAGACGTGGCCGCACTTACCACGAGAGCAAAGTTTGAGCAACTTTCCCAACAAAAGTACACTTGCGCTAATAATGCTCATGAAATGCATTGCCTTTGACATGTAGAAAGGCAGTCCCTGCGAATCCTGTTTCACAAGTTTCAAGTAGACAATGTACTGGACACCCTACATTTCTTCGCAATATACAGCCGAAGAGGCTTCGGGAAGACGTGTAAACTGTGTGCTTTGTAACAGGACGTCGAAAACAGATGGGGCAAGATCTGCTGCTTTGTTCCTTTTCTTTCTTGGGGACTAACACCTGTTCTCAAACTGTTCCGATGAACTGCCATGGGTATCTTCAGCACTCGCTGTGCCTTGAAAGAATCCTCCTGCAAGAAGGAGAACTCCTCCCTGCAGGACTTGTAGCCGCTGTTCTAATTGGCCACAAAGCATTTCCCCATGTCCATTCCTCATAGAACGACACAACACACAAGCGTGGCAACTTTAAATAAGACTCAATGCTAAACAAGCAGCGAAATAACAAGAGCCGAGAGGCATAGAGTGGCGCCGAGCCAGTAGAGCGGGCAGGTGCGGGCTTTAAGGTCGGGCCTTTGGGCCTGAGTTAGCCACTCCATTTAGCGAAGAGGCGCTCAACTGCGAGAGCCACTGGGTATGCACGGCGCGGCTGCGCGCAGTAGTCGTCTTGTCACCTCTCCTTCTTAAGCACCATTCACACATTTGCAATTGAGTAGGACCGAAAAAGACAAGATTGGTTTTTAAGCCTCTTGCGAAGGCGTAGGAACTTCTCCACAGCAGAGCATCAGGTCGTCTGCCATCGCAAGGGGCTTAACCCTTTGCTGTCATGTGTTGGGCCACGCCCGACATCGGAGAAACAAACTTTTGGTCAGGAGTCGGGTGTCGCCCTACGCGCATTCCTGCGTCCCTTTAAACATGCTCCTTCGCTCTTTTTTGCTGGATTGATGGTGCCATCCCCTGGAGCGTTCCTTTAACATTTCAATCACTTCACTCCTGAAAGGGTTTGAGTTTTTTTTCATAGACGGCAGAACTAATCCTAAACAGCCTAAACAACAGAGGACCGCGCAAATTTCAACTTCACTTGCACGAGGAATGGCCATGTTCCAGCCACGCTTGTTTTATGGTAACTCTTTGCGTGATATAATTGAAAGTGACAATTTCAGTGAAGAGGACAACTGTATCCCTCTGTCAGATGAAGAGACATCCTCTACTGACTTGAGTGAAAATAGTGATGAAGATCAAACGACTGCGCAAGACAGCTGCCGCGGAGCCGCTCCACCACAAGTGTAATCCTGGGGTTTGCACACAAACAATCTCCCAAACTTTCCTGTACTTACGTTCAGTATGAGTAAACCCAGATCACAAATTGGGCCCTCAAATCTCCAATCTGAACTCCAGTTTTTTTCAAGTATTTTTCATGGCTCAACTAATTGGGGAAATTGTTCATGAAACAAACCAGTATGCCCGCGAGAGGATTTCGTTCGCGGAATTTCTTGCAAAAAATTACATTTGGAAACGCTGGGAGGACGTCACTGTGAATGGCCTTGAATCCCAAGCCCGACATCAGAGTACTTTAGCAAAGAAATTCTGAAGAAGATGCCATTTTTTAATGCAAAAGCATTAACTGTCCCATGGAGCGAGTCAATGCTATCAGTTGCAACGAACGGCAGATAAATTCGTGACGCTGCAATCTGAGGCACCTCAGCTTTGAAACCGTGCAGAGCCATGGAAAACGACAAGTAAATGAAGCCAAAGGAGGCCGCTGCACGTCAGCTTCATTCAGCACCACACTATGGTGCTGCGTGCTCGCACGCTGACAAAAAGAATCCGCTGGCACGCTCGGGCGGCGGCTGAGCCGCCCGAGCGTGCCTGCCGATTCTGTGCGGCCGACAGCACAGCCGTATCAGCGAGGCGCGGGACTTCACGAGGACACACGCAAGAACGACATTCATGCTTTCGCCTTCACAACTCAGGAGTGCTTATGTGAACCTCGAGCCTTTTCGAATGGTGTTCCATCGAACAAGGTTTTTGCAGATTTTCTGGATGCTGCACGTTTCTCCTTCTCTGCAAGGTCCATCAGGACAGCCGATACGTGGCAGCAACGTGAGAAACATTGTGTGCTACATTGATTCAAAGTGCAGAGAGCATTTAAAGCCTGGTCCGAAGATTTGCAAAAATGAGAGCACCATTGGCTTCAAGGGGCAAGTCTCCTTCAAGTGCTTCAAACCATAGAAGTCAACAAAGTGGGGCCTTTGGGTGTACATACTCGCGGACTGTACAACTGGGTATGTTTCGGCAGTCGAACCATGCTACGAGAGCCTTGCCGAATCGTCCTTCACCTCCTCGACAAAGTGCAGTGCGCTTCGCTGGGAAGGGGGTACCACCTGTTCACAGATAGGTTTTATACATCGCCAACACTTGCCAAGGTGTTGCTTTTGAAGGACAAAAGGCTGACCTAGACTGTGATGACCAACGACCTCTCAATGAAGACTGTGATGAGAACTCAAGCTTACAGCCAAACTGTGATGCCCCAGAAGCCCGTCGTCATTTGCGACCACACTGAAAACATGGGGGCACTGGACCAAGCCGACCATTACTGCGCAAGCTATGCCTTCTCTCGAAAATCTTTCCGGTGGTGGATAAAGACTTTTTTTATATCCTTGAACTTTCCATTGTCAACACAACATTGTCGCACCTATTGATGAAAATGCAGCTCGATGCTCAGGGAGTGAAGGGGCAAAAACACCTGCAGTACCGTCGCAAGCTTATCGAGCAGCTTGTCAGGGACCAGCGAGTGTGACCTAAGAAAAGAGGTCCGGCATCCCAAACTGACTGTGAGAAGCGGCTAGATGGCAGGCAGCAGTTTATCTACAAGCTGCCAGAATGCAGCAGCAAGGACAGTGCATTATGCAGTGACTGGGAAACTAAAGGGGGCAAGAGAGAGAAAGTTTTCCTCTGCAGCACCTGCAGCAAGCATCCCAGCCTCCACCCTGGAGAATGCTTGGAGGAATACCATACACTGGCGAAGTTCTGCTAGAAAACGTAAGAAAGCAGGAGCTCTGCAAAAATTAATATTTTATGTTACCTTTGTACACTGAAATAATTTTACTGTTCTGTGGCCCATGCATCCAAAATAGTTTCTGACTGGAACGACCTTTAAGTTGGTCAGAGTATCTGTCCGCAAACCAGTCTTGTCTCTCTCGGTCTTACTCAGTTGCAAGTGCATGAACGGCGCATTACACCGTGGTCTCATCTTGTGGTTGTGCTATCATGGCAGCAGTCAAGGAACCGCTTCATGACGTAGCCCTCAGTGGAACAACCCAAGCAGGGAAGGTAACTCGCCCTAAGCCGAAATCGCAGCTGGACTGGAGACAACAGAGCAATTTTTTCCTGTAAGGCGATCTACGTATTTACCATCCACTCCCACTACGATGCATAGGTGACTGCCGAGAACACGTCCACACTCCAGCCGCTTTTTCCACCTTGAACGAGTGGCCTCCCATTTTCCAGCTGTTCCGCCAAGCGCTACGTCACGGTGCAGTTCTTTGGCCTCCACTAGTATAGTGCTGCTAACAGATAAGACACTGGTCGCGTGTTCCATGCAAAATTGTTGAGCACTGTATAAAGTGTCTGTCTGCCATTGTAACAAGATGATCTAGCTGGATTATGCGGGTTTTGCGGCATTTGCCGTCAGCACATCCAAAAGCTTCCAAGGCGTACCCGACAGTCCTTGAAGAGGCTTCCCATCAATGCTCCAAATGAGTGCTTCACTTCCACTGTCCCATCGTAGATGAACTTCCTTGCCGCACCATTTGTTAGGAATGTCGATCACAACCTGTAAAACCAAACACAGGAAGAGCAGCATTCATCAGTGGTTCAAGGGTGCAGAGAAAAAACTGCACGCACTTCAGGCAGTTTCTCCTGTGCACCCTTCGAGGGGGCAAAGAGAGTAAATGGTGGAGGCAATTGCCTCCGACAATCAGACACCAATACGTCACTTCCGTGAGCATTCAAAATGTACATACATGCAATTGTCCAACCCCAACCCAACCCAACCCAACCCAACCCCCAACCCCCCCCCCCCCCCCCCCCCCCCCCCGAAAAGATATCTGGGACCGCCACGTGACTTCGGGAGATTGAAATTTGAAACCGATCAGTTTCATAGCGATTCCAGGGCTATTTGACGCTGTTTGAGTAGGATAGATAGCCCGCGAGACAAATGCAATGAACAAACACTGCTGTGTCCGTGCGACATGCACGAGAAAGACAAGCGCGTGACACTTCGATCAAATATCGAGGATCGCACCTTAAACCAGCAAGTTGTCCACGTCGGTCCGAACTGAGCGCCCACTGACGTCTTGACGTAGCTGGTACTTTCGCGAGCATCGCTAAACGGAATGCGATCCGGCGTGGAGAAAACGGTCAGGCTCGTCAGGTCCTTGGTTTCCGCGTAAATCTTCCCGTACAGATTGACATCCGTAAAATAGAGCGGGCTGATGAACTTCTCGGCCCTTTCGAGGGTGCACCGCCTGTTCTTGAACATCGATGCCATAGTAAACAGCCGGTTCTGCTAGTTCGTCGCTTCACTTTCTTTGACGCCTTACGGATTGTCCATCAGTGGCGTTAGGTGGTTAGGTGCTATCGAGATCTACCGACTTGTTCTCGAAAAGCGGTCGAAATGAGCGGTACAAAAACCACACACCGGCCGTGATTAAAAGATTAAAACGTCAAGATGGTCCAAGTAGACAGCAAAGTGACCGCAATGAAGCAGGCGAAATGTGCGTGTCGTACAGGCTGAAAAGCTGTCAACATGGACAATACAAGCCCAGAGCTCCGTACAAGCCGATAAGAAGTATTAACATTAGTAAGTACTGGTAATAGTAAATAAGTGCTTAGCAAGTACGGACAAAGCAAAACAATGAGCCACAGGCAGTCTTGGGGGTAAAAGATAAGTGGTTGAGACCGCTGAGACTGGCGCGTCTCTAAAGGGCGTGTCGTGGCGACAGACGGCGACACCAGCGATTTTTGTGCGTTCTGTCTGTGTGGGAATTTGGGGAGTGAAAGGCGGGAAATTCGAAATGTGCGTGTCATTCAGGCGTTCCGGAAAGTCATAGGGGTGTCACATTCTTGGAAGCGAATTGTTAATATACAATTTTCGCATAAAAACAATTGCTTTCTCCCTCTGCCCAGTCATATAACTCCCGTATGCGTAGGGTGACCACCTTCCTGCTAACGAATGCGGGACATGCGGAACAGGGAGGGAGGGTAAGGCGGAGGGGGGGGGGGGGGGGGGGGGGGGGGGGGGGGTGGGAGGGAAATTTGTGAACACGCACACCACCACGAACTGAGGGTCTGTTAGCACATTTAATACACTGTGCTGTTAATAGAGCTGAAAATTGAATAATTTTCACTCCCAGTGATATGTTTTTATGCCAAATATGTTATCCAGCTGCAGCTTAATGCACTCAAATGAACTTAAGAATACAGTAAATATTT